GAAGTTTGTACCAGTGGCCTTTGTTGACTGAAGCATTTCCTTAACGGTGAAGGCTTTCAATATGGGCCTTGTATTTCATTCCATATTAAAAGCCCTCCAACTAATTGCTTATGCTTAGAGCATGACTAACGAGTTGCATAAGTCTGCAGGATGATTTGTCTATTTATCAACTAGGAAGATTCATTTCACTTTGCTTTTATTTTGTACTATAGTCAGTATTCTACTGGTGCTTGAGAATTTCACAACAATATTTGTGCCCTACACCTTACATACACATTTCATATTTCATATATTTGCGTATCTTTCTACATTGCATGCCTTTGGTTTTGATGCCGCTTTGCGAGATGTCTTGATAATCTAAATGTGATACCACTTGTGTGAGTTTGATGTCATATATTTCATTTTGATGTCGCATTGCTGACCTAAGATTCAAGCATTAGGTATTGGTACAAGGGTTCAAAGCCTGTATACCAGCATTTGTTTCACTTCAGAACCTAAGGTTCAAGCCTTAGGTATTGGTATAACGGTTCAAAGCCTATATACCAACTTCATTTCAAGCCTAAGATTCACGCCTTAGGTGTATAATATGAGGTTCAGACTTTAGATTAACGTTCACATCTTCAAAGTTTTCGTTCATTGTTGCCTAAAGTTCAAGCCTTAAGGACTGAGTTAAGATTTTGGGTCCTAAGTCAGTGTTCACTTTTGTCGAGATGACATGGTTCATTTAACAGGTTCCAACAATGAACGAAAATTGATGTTCATTGTTTCCTGCAACTTTTCATGGCTCTCATAAAATTTGAGTTATTTCATTTCAACACAATTCAAGATAAGTTTAAAATGATAAGTTCAAAAGTATTTCAAGATATTTCATAATAACTTTGTAGATTATCAACTGTAAAATTTTCTACGTTTATCTGCGTTCCAAGCGATAGTCATATGTTCACTTTTCATCATTCATGGATCCCTGCCACTTTTATGGATTTCTCAACAGAGACATAAGATTGTCAAAATAAGTCATATGCATCATGATTTTTTCACGTGGGCATTCTGCAAGTTATATATTCTTGCAAGAAATATGATCAAAGTTTTGATTCAAGTATTTGTATGAGTCATAATAATTTCTGTTCAATATTCTATCTCGATGCTTTCACAATGTAAAATTTACAAAGAGATTTCAATAAATGGTAGCCTGTCAGGCTTGTTAATTAAAGTAACATTATTTTATGTTTGTCATAATTCACACATTGTAGTAGAATTAGGATGCATAAGAGCTTATGATGATCACGTCAACATAAGGCACATTCATAAATCAAAAAATAATTTCAAAGATATCAATATATTCATCCTGAAATGTTGGGCTTGAGTCAGACTGCTACTTTCAAGATGTTCACTCACAGTATTTTCTTGATAAGAAATTGAACACTTCAACTAGGTTTCATTCACAAGGATGATTCATATGCCTAGTATGTTCTCAGACTTTGTCAATTTTAAAAATGTTAATTCCATACACATTTGCCTGATGCTTTTTTATGGTAAGCCTCCCTTTCATGCGATATTCACTGATATTCTTGTCTTTCAGGAAACTGAATATCAACCATAAAGAAACCTTAAAATCAATGTCGATTTCTTCATAAATTTGTCTAAGAAGGTTCATGGTCACTCACTAAGTTAATTCAGCTTTGAGGTTGGTTTATAATAGGATAGCTAATTTCTGTAACTTTTCTGTACACCCTTTTCAGGTAATATCATGTGTCACTTTAATCAAATTTCGTTCTTGCGAGGTACTTTGGTTCTTCCATCTAGGATTCTAAGGTACATTGAGCAATAATCATTTCATCACATCTTTTTCATCCTTTGTTCACCAACATAATTTTCATCATTTTTGATAAATAATTATCCAGTCATCTAAAGGTTTCTTCAATAAATATCTGGTCCTAAATACTTAATTCCTTAATAAGTATTCATTCCTCAAGCATTTAAGCATTATTCACTAGGCTTTCACTCAAAGCATTATTCACTTGGCTAAAGTCACCAATATCACAATCATTGGCTATAAAATTAGAAAATTTTACAGTTAATATCTGCAAAATTATTATATCTTGAAATACTTTTGAACTTATCTTTATTTGTGTTGAAATGAAATGACTTAATTTTATGAGATCGATGAAATGTTGCAGATATCAAAGAACAACGAAATATGAACCTCGTTGGAACCTGTCGAATGAACCTCGTTGCAGATATCAGTCCCTAAGGCTTGAACCTTATGCAATAATGAACGAAAGCTTTGAAGACGTGAATTCTAATCTAAGGCCTGAACCTTAGATTATGCACCTAAAGAGTGAACTTTAGGCTTGAAATGAAGTTGGTATATAGGCTTTGAACCCGTATACCAATACCTAAGGCTTGAACATTAGGTCCTAAAGTGAAATGAATGCTGGTATGCAGGCTTTGAACCCTTATTCCAGTACCTGAGGCTTGAACCTTAGGTTAGCAACACAACATCAAATGTATGACGTCAAACTCAAACTAGCAGCATCATAAAAGACTTACAGACATCTCGCAAAGCGCAATCAAAACAAAAAGCATGCAAAATAGAAAGGTACTCAAATATATGAATTATGAAATGTATATATAAAGGTGCAGGACACCAATGTTATTTTAGAACTCTCCAGTACCAGCAGAATACAGACCATAGTGCGAAATAAAAACAAAGTGAAGTGGATCTTTTGGGTTGACAAACAGGCAAATCACCCCGCAGATTTATGTATCTCGCTACTTATGCTCTCAGCATAAGCAACGAGCTGAAGGGCTTCTGATCTAGAATTAATATGAAGCGCTAATGATAAGAACCATTTTTATCTGGTTGGGCTGACCATGTGATCTTCGTCCACACAAATGATTTGGTGCAACTTTAACCCATGGGTCTTCACTGGAATAAGGTGGGAGGTGTACCTGCAAGATACTCTGACGCTCAAGTCGGTTCAAGATTCAAGCAGGTTCATTCATATAGAAGAAGATGTGTATATTTGGTTAATACTTTCATATTTATAATGGAGAGTGGAGTTTTGTGGAAAGATGATTAGCTTTGTTGTTTGCAAGTGTTTGAGGCGACAAACTTTCTTCATTGGTTTTGTGTAGAGCTGGAAAAATGGGCCGAGCCCGCCGGCCCGCCAAACGGGGCGGGACGAGCTGAGATATCTAGCCCATCTTCGAAGGCGGGGCGGGCCAACCCGTTTTTTGGCGGGCTGGGCTGGGGCGGGGCGGGCAGCCCGCTTTGCCACCCCTAGTTTTGTGGGTGGTTGAGATAAGATTTTTGCATAAGTTTCTTGGCAATGAAGTTTGCAGAGCAGCCTTTGTTGATTGCAACCTTTTCTTAATAGTGAAGACTTTTAATATGGGCCTTGTATTTCATTCCAGAGCTGCAGCGTTATTAAACTCGAACCAATGGTGGACAAGGGGTATTGAGTTATTGGATTATCGGTTCAACTAACGGGTCACTGGTTTAATCGCATGAATTAAATATATATAATATAATACGACAAATATAAAATTAGAAGCATTTTAGCTAATAAATAAAGTTAGATTAGTAGTAAGTGCTATATAAGTTATAATCTATATAGTTTAAATTCGAATTTCATTAATGGTATTTTTCAAGCATTTTATAAAAAATTTCACAAAATCAATTAAAAAAAAATCGATGCGACATAATAATGGTTGAACCCGATTAACCGATTTATATAGGGTCAAATGCATAACTGGTTCAATACCTAAACCAGACCGATTGAGGATCCAATTTACGGGTTAATCGGCCGAATCGCCTGGGCCAGGTCGATTTTCATAACATTGCTGCAAGGGATTATTTATTTTATTATTATTATTAAATGTTTGATATTTGTCTTTTTAAAGGATGTAGAAATGTGTCTTCTTAAGTGAGAGAAAGAGAAACACAATGGAAATCATAGGGGGAGAAAATATGTGTTTTTTTTAATTTAAATATGACATAAAAAAACATTCGTTTTAACTAAAATGACAATCCTTTAAAAGGATAAATATTTTTCCCTAGAGTTTTAAAGTTTCTAAAGTTACTTTATATAACTTTATATAATGTTCACCAAAATACATATATAAAAGTTTGTGAGGCACATTTTTTCTCTCTCTTCTCTTCACATGAGTCTACATGGACCTTACACACTTTTATGTGTGTATTTTGATGAATATTAGATAAAATTATCTAAAGTAACTTTAGAAACTTTAAACCATTTTTCTTATTATTAATTGAGATTATTGTTTCTTATACTATAAGAGATAAATTTATCTCCTACATTCACATAAAAATATGTGGAATTCATATTTTCTCTTTATCTCTTTTCTTCTCTCACAGGCCCACATAAGTTTTATATACTTTTATATATGTGTATGAGATAAATTTATCTCCTATATCTTAGAAAAATTAATCTCTTATTAATTACATAAAAAATCGATAACAAATTTATTTATGGAAAAAATATGTGTCATATTAAAGGATGTAAAATTGTGTTATTTTAAGTGAGAGAAAGAGATAGATAAAGAAGGAAATAGAGTGGACAAAAAAAAAATGAATGTCACCCCTTTCTGAAAGAATAAAATGATATAAGTTGTGAGACGTAAAAAGATGATAGATATTTAGCGCAATAGCCTGAAAAAAGAAGAAGAGTAAATATCCTTTTTGGTCCCTAATAAAAAACACGATCCCCACTTTAGTCCCTGACAAAAATAAATAAATTAGTGAGTTAGTCCCTAACAAATTTAAAGTGGACTCATTTTAGTCCTTTTGAGGGACTAATATAGATCTTTTTTGAATTTGTGAGGGACCACGATTTCAACTAAATGGGTCCACTTTGAATTTGTTAGAGACTAAGTGACTAATTTATTTTTGTAAGGGACTACAATGAACACCGTATTTTTTGTCAGAACTAAAAAGCTATTTACTCAAAAATAAATAAATAAGAACCATAGAGTAGGAAAAGGGGCTTGCAGCGTGAATGAAATGAATCGGGTTCTCCTTGTTCGTCGTCCTCTACTCTCTCTCGCTTTTTCGAACCCTAAGCTACCATTATCATCCTTTTTCCAAGGCTATTCATACAGACTAAGACGGTAATTTCGTCTAAATCTATTTATATATTCGTTTTTTTTTTTTTTTTTTGGTCATAGTTGCCTTTATTCACCGTTTACTTTTAGAATGATTTTTGAGATACATAAGGATCAACCTGGAGTTTCATCACTTCCGACATTTACAACATTTTGCACTACAAACAAAGGTGCGTCTACCTACATCTTTCCATGTATTGCTGTGTTTGCTCCTTGCCTATTTATTTTGGAAGATAGCTTAGTTTGATGATACTTGTTGTTGCTATAAACAAATTTTAGTTTCTGTTTTAGATCTGTCAACTAAGAAGTGTGTACCATGCAATACAAAGGACTTGCGACCCATGACCGAGGATGCATCGCGCACGCTGATTCCACAGGTTTATTTCATCTATAAAATAATCAACTTATGTCAGTTTAAGTGTCATTATCTTTGTTATTAAATATTTGACATTAAGTGGTCAGGTTGCCCAGTGGAGTTTGGTAAACGAAGGCGGTACGTTGAAACTGAAGAGATCATGGAAAGTTAAGACTTTTACCAAAGGTTTAGAATTTTTCAGGATAATAGCTGATCTTGCTGAAGCTGAAGGTATCATGCTCTGTTTCTGTGTATATATATTTTCTAATTTTTAACTATGTATTGATGTTATAGGGAACATATAAAATGTAACCAAGATGTTTATAATGCAGGTCATCATCCTGATCTTCACCTTGTTGGCTGGAATAATGTCACTATCGAGATTTGGACTCATTCAGTTGGTATGAATCATTTATTGTTCAAATCATTTAGTCAAATGTTGGTCTATGAGAAATAAAAATGTCAAAAGATGATTTTTTAGGCAGAATTGACGTGTAATGAAATAAAAAGATGATTTCTTCAAAACAATTGGAGCCCAGCATAACGATAACATCGTGGGTGAAACCATTTGTTCATTCCTGGGCATCATTCATGTGATCTTTTTGAGAGCAGAATAATTTTTTTCTCCCTGTTTGGAGAGAAAAGAAAAATCGCATGCTCTCTGGCTTTTTGATTTAGTAAGCTTGGTGCATTAGACTATTGATTTTGGGTCGAAACGGATAATGGATGAATATACTAAAAAAAAGAAGAAACTTGGTGCACATACTATTCCAGCTGCATATCACATGGGTCCCTCCAAAACCCCCATCCCCCATATTAACATCACTTTGTGGTATTTTGGTACTGCAAGGAAAAGGAATGCAGAACAGGCATGGTTGTCTTGGGCTTTATATTTTTATCCATGAAAATGCAGCTGACTGCAGGGGAACTACAAAGAAAGAATGATCTCTCTATATATATACATGTTTGTCCGTACCATAGCTATTGTATTTTCATCTTGTTATATGTATGTGCTTGTTAGGAAAAGAAATTAGTTTAGCTACGTATTCAACTTATTTGCATCTGTAGTAGTAGTGGTATAATACATTTTTTTTAGTAACTAGTGGTATAATACATTTTATCAATATAGTATAACCATGAAATATTTCATGATTAAAATTTTACGGTGATTTGCTAGCTCAGTCAAGTTTGGACAGCATTATTACTTCTTTCCAACTATGTATTTAACTTCTTCCCAAATTTCCCCTTGTTATTTAATCTTATTTTTCTTGAATTTTCTACTGAATGTTTTTATTTTTATTTTTATATCTACATATGGGCAATATTCGAAGTGATCCATGTTCATGTAGGTGGGCTGACGGAGAATGACTTCATACTTGCTGCTAAGATCAGTGAGCTTAATTTGCATGACTTATTAAGACGGAAAGCTTCTGACTGAATTATCGGTGTAGAGAGGAAGTTGTAGACATCATAGGGTAGTAAGATTTTTGTTTTTTATAATAGAATTATTATGTTTGGTTCCAGAGCTATTGTTTTTTGTAATGGAGTATATCACATGGATATCATGGAATTTATCGCATAGGCTCTATTTGTGTTTTCTTAACCTGAGGTACGGTAGGATATGGATACCTACGTGAGGAAAGCAAAACTGTTGATCAAGCGATGATGTGGATTAGTGGGGATAAGTGTGTTCACCAACTTAAAGATTTCTATGGGTGGACTTTAATATTTCTAGGGAAGGGTTGCTTTTAAATTGCAGTAGCACGCAAATCCAACTAAGATAGGCAAATATGATCTCATTATTGTTGAATTTTATTCATTGTCAAGCAGTACTAAAATCTTATTTAATTCTTACTTGATTCTTACTTGATTCAATGTCAATTTGCCCGTCTTACCAAAAGCTATATACGATTCGTCTACCTTTAGTATAATACATTTTTTCTGAGATACTGCGCAGCTTAATTTGATATAATACAACACTTAACAAACAGTATTACGGCACAGATATTATGGTAGGAAAATTCTCTTATCCAAAAAAGGGAGAAACTGATTTATTGATTTTGAAGAGAATATATTGATTTTGTTTGATGCCTGGGTCTTGATCTTGGTTTTGACTTTTTAACATAGACTTCTAGTGGTTTGAACTGTGCAACTATACTCATAAGTCAAGCACAAACTGTACATTTTAAGATGGATGACTGACCGAAGCAATGTTTTGTTTCAAATTAATTCAGTTAACTGTTTTAGCTATGAAAGATCAAAATAAAAGTTGCACGCCAACTTGTTTTCGGTATGATTGCAGAATTGCTTGGGTAATTTTATAGGCTTTATTAAGCTAACCAAAATGATATTGCACAGCACTTACAAATGGTTTATCCGCAATCATAAAATTCGAGGCACCGTATTGGGATTTAACTCAACTTTCAATTAAATTGCAGTAATGATGCAAAACATTACTCCAAGTAATTCTGTGTTAATTATTCTATTCACATATGAATACTTAGTTGTACCGAGATTGCAAGTGAGTATAGTATAGAAAGCCAAAATGGCCAAAACACAATATTGATATTGTTAAAAAAATGCAGAATTTATGCCAAACGGAGCAGGTATCTTTTCAGCCTATATCAGTTTATAAGATAACTGGTTTTAACAAATTTTAAATAACACAGTTCAATTATGCAGAAATATCAATGCTGATGCTCACTTTCAATAAAATAATTACGCTGACAACTGGAAAAGACAAGATTTACAAAAAGAGAGAGTTAAAACTATGGCACCCAAATGGTCTGCTAAGTGCAGATTTTATATTTGACAGCAATAGCGAATGAACAAATTTAGTTCTATCAATCTAATATGTCAAACAGAATTTATTAACATTAGGTAACCGAAAGGTGTACGACACCGATTTAGTGCAGTGTTAAGATTCTTCTTATTTCAGTGAATGTGCTTAAAATGCCAAAAGTATGAGAATTAGATCCTTCTTAATAACAGTAATTCAGATACCAAAGCAACAGCCAGGATAAGATGAATCAACCTATTTAACACTTGGGATTAACAGCCCTTTTTACACAATATAATCAAAGTTATATGTATCAACTCATCAGAATCACCAAGAGACAAATAAACAGAGTTCATGATCTGAACAGAGACAAAAAGATATCAATTCTCCAAGTATTAACAAGAAAATAATCAAATAGTGCAGATCATAAGTCAATATGTCAGAGGATTACACACTAACACACTTGATGCAGTTTAAGTCACTAAACTGAATTCAATTATCAATAACAGATCTGAGAATGTTTCACTCCAACCTCTTTAACACATAATATATCAAGTATAAGCTAATATATCAAAAGCACTAATAAGAAGGATTCTTGACACAATTTTAATTCCAAAACAAGTTGGGTTTTAACAATGCCGCCTAATGTATCTAAGCAACTTCCAAGACTAATTCAGATCATGTATTGTACAACATTGATTTAGATGTGCAAAGATGATCCAAGATCATGCTTTTAATGCAGTTCTACGGCACCAAGAACAGAACCACTTTCAGGGATAGTTACTGTGTCAAGGTTTCTGGCCCACCCAAAGATTTAACACACGATACAAATTTGGTTATATTTCAGAACAATTTTGCTGCAAATTATATCAGATACAAGATCAAGATAGAAGCAGTGTTAGTTACAAGCACTACGCCAAATCAGTTATGCACCCAATGATATTGTGTACAGTCCAAGTCAAAATTGATCAAAGACAGTCAATTAAACACCAATATGATAGAGGCACAATTTTAGGCAGATTGTTGGTATCAATTCAAATCAGAACACTATTCAAGAGTCAATTAAGAACATTACAAAAATTAAAAGTGTAAAATTTGGATTACTAGTCAATTAAAAAATGCAGTTAGGGATTCGACTTCTCCCAATTTTTCCTTTATATCCTGAATTAAAACCTTAATTAATCACCTTTTTATATCGCCAATCAATTTCCCTAAATTAGTTAAAACTCAATTCCTTAGCATTCTAACCCCTTTTACTCCCTTAATAGAATCTTAATTCCTTGGTGGGCAGTGCCCCTGCACCCCAGTTGGCTTTCAGCAGGGTTCTCAATGCGAAATATGAGTTATACCCAACATCAGCAAAGCTAAAAAAGAAGGAAAAAGGAAATATGGAAAGAAAGCACCCGAAAGATCGTGCACTTGTAAACATGTCCTAGCACTCCAATTCTGCCAAAAAAGAATGCGATACCAAGCCCCACAAAATAAAGAAATGATGCAGCGATTTTTATGCTCCAATTATGGCAAGTGACCCAAGAATTTATTCTAAGAATCCTTTCAACAAACAGGTCTTGTGTACAGCACTTTTGACTCAATAATCCTATAGTTTTCACCCACACACAATGGCAATCACGATTGGAAGCTTTCCTCAGACAAGAATGTGACCCAACCAAAAAATGAAATACACTATTCAAGGATCAAGATTGGGTAATCTCGAAGGAACAATGGTGAGGAAAATGGGAATTTTTCCAAATGAAGGCTTCAAGACAGGGTTTAACTCAGAATAAGAGTATTTTTTTTTTTCTCATAACCATACACTTTTTATGTAGTAATCCCATAAAAAATTGAGTATCCGGCTCTCTCTGGAATTTTTATCTTCTTTTTTTTCGGTAAACTGGAATTTTTATCTTTGTTTTCAGAATGGGGATTGTATTGGTGCTGTTTCAGAATATGCAGGTCGAGTGTATAACGAGAGTCTGAAATAAGTAACTAACTAAATGATTAAGCGTGGACGAGTTTATTTTAGTTATCGTATGCCTGTCACACGCAAACGTTGATGTAAATCTTTCGGTGTTGTTGACTCATCAATGGTTACACACAACTAAGGTAGGTAGATTCTCATAGCGTAACACCTATGCTTTCAAGAGAGTTGTTTGCTAAGCGGAATTAGAATTTTTGACATTATTTTAATGTTGCTAATTAAAGCTATTAATTGAAACCAAGTTCCTTACAAAAATCAGAGTATATTTTTTAAGTTGCTGAAATTTTTTTTTTTTCTGGCAGACCTTGCTGTCTTTAAAAATTCGTATAAAATCAGTTTCGATGACTCAAAAAAATATTCCATATAATCTAGAAAGAGGGCTTCGCGTGCATATAAAATAATAGTAAATCGGAGTTCGTTTGCCCCTTGTAACGTAACTCGCAAAGTGCTCGCAAAACTGTTTGAAAATCAGCACTTAATAAAACGTCAGAAATTATTTTCGCAAAACGTTTCTAGAATTTGTTTCCAAGGTACTTGCTGATCATAAAAGTCTGAAAACAGTAATAAAATCATAGTTCAACAGTAGTCCAAACTTCTCAAATTAATACCGTCATCCATCAAATAAACAGCAAAAGTCCAAACAATAGCACATAACAACAAATATCCATAAAATCTTGTCCTCAAATGCTTTTGAGTCCTCCTGCAATTTTATAAAATTGCAGCCCCAAAATGGTGAGAAAAATTCCAGTAGTGTTATAGTAAAACCAATAATGCAACAGTATTAAACTAAGCACAAAATTATAAATCTCAACATTTCATTTTCCTGATAAATCTTAACATTTCATAGTGCGTATATAACGCCATCATAAAGTACGTCATAGCACCGTCGTGCACGTACAACATACACAGTGGATATTCCATAATGGCTCCCTCAAAGGTGAATTCCAACTGTGGCCTATGCGGACGGAAGTCAAGTGTCTCATACCCTGGTACCGAAGGGATGCCTATATGATGCGTGCTCAAACGAATGCATATTTATATAGATATTATTATTAGTCAATGCAACATGAAATTTATGCACGTATGCCATGCTATGCTTTCACACGCCAACAGAAAAATGGATGCGGTATGATGTAATTGTGCATGACTAAATTATCAGTATCATAACATATTCTTCAAGCTGCCATATAACAGTTTTACCTCATAACAAAATTACCATCAAGACATAGGCAGAATACTTTCATCATAAATGGCTGAAGAATTATTAGGCACATGTGGCAACATGTCACAATTTTATACACTAGTCAATAGTCACATTAGGTAATATCACCTAACACTTACCTCGCTTGTCACAAAATAAGTTACCAGGCAGCAGCTAAGATGGTCCAAAGTCTCACAAAATATGCGCACCTAAACAGAGGCATTATTAATCAGAATCGTTTGCTACATAAATACTTATACGCAGTAACGTTTTTACTCCTTTCTACCCCAAAACCCAATCGGTTCTCCAAGGCTCTTTTACCAACAACATTCTGACTTCAATAACAATTTTCTAACGTTTAACAATGACTTAATCAACCCAAACAGAATCAGTTTTTTGCACATAAAGGGGGTCCTCAAGAATAAATTATGAAATTTCTACTTTTCTACTCAAATGTGCGCAAAAGAGCCTATTACCATGCTGTCTATATAAATTAAATGGAGTTTAGTTCATGTCAAGACTCATCAAAACAGAATTGGTTTTTAAGTATATAAAGGCTTAAGACATTTATTCGAAATTTTGTTCGACAAGACCAAGTGTACGTGAAGGAAACCTAAGCTGATACTATGCACTTAATTTAAATAAGGCTTAGTTTATAACAAGATTTACCAAGGCAGAATCGACTTTATCTACACCAAACACCAAGGATAATTTATTCCAAGAACTCTCCTAGTCCATGCATGGTGCGCTAC